ACCCTAAACCCTAAACCGACTTCACCCTCGTGGTGAAGTCGTAGAGTCGGGGGCAGAGTGAGCCATCGGCTGGGAGTGTTCACCCCATGGAAAGTGCCACCCTAAGACCTTGGCAGCCAAGCCCCAACCCTAGGACTCTAAGGACTCATAGTTTAAGGCTTTTGGGCCCAAAGACCGAATTATATAAGGCTTTTGGGCTATTTTGATGCTAAGGGCAAGACGAAAAGGATGCACGTCGCAAGCCTTTATTGCATGAAGGGTCCTATACCATTCAGTCGGGGTGTTCATTCCTGCACCCTAAACCCTAAACCCTAAATGCCTAAGCCCTGTAAACCCTAAACCCGAAGCCCTAAACCCTAAACCCGAAGCCCGAAACCCAAAGCCCTAAGCCCTATAAACCCTAAACCCGAAGCCCTATACCCTAAACCCGAAGCCCTGAACCCTAAACCCGAAGCCCTAAACCCTAAACCCAAAGCCCTGTAAACCCTAAGCCCGAAGCCCTAAACCCTAAACCCAAAACCCGAAGCCCTAAGCCCTAAACCCGAAACCCTTAACCCTAAACCCGCAGCCCTAGACCCTAAACCCGAAGCCCTAAACCCGAAGCCCTAAACCCTAAACCCTAAACACTAAATGCCTAAACCCGAAACCCTTAACCCTAAACCCGCAGCCCTAAACCCTAAACCCGAAGCCCTAAACCCGAAGCCCTAAACCCTAAACCCTAAACACTAAATGCCTAACCCCTAAACCCTAAACCCTAAACCCGAAGCCCTAAACCCTAAACTCTAAACCCCAAATGCCTAAGCCCTAGCCCCTAAACCCGAAGCCCTAAAGCCTAGACGCTACGCCCGAAACCTGTCGCTGCAACTGTAGCTGGCAGCGTTTGGCTTGCCACCTTGCTTCGGATCTTACCCGGGTTTGGGGTTTAGGGTTTATAGGGGTTTAGGGTTGAGGGTTTAGGGTTTAGGGTTGAGGGTTTAGGGTTTAGGGTTTAGGGTTTAGGGTTTTTGGGGTTTAGGGCTTCGGATCTTACCCGGGCTTAGGGTTTAGGGTTTAGGGTCTTACCCGGTTCCTGGCTCTGATTTTGTTTTCTCGGGTTTAGGGTTTAGGATTTAGGGCTTAGGGTTTAGGGCCCAACATACACCTTGATGAAGGAATGTACCTCAAATTCTAGGGGCCTTAAGCTTTATGACTCAAGGTATATTCCTTAACCGTGTAGGGTTGAAAGCGCCCGAAGGAGGAGATGAAAAGACGACAAGGAGAAATGGCGCCTTGGCCAAAGCGACACCGACCCAAGCTTAACCTGCTTAAAGCAGATGGAACATTGATACCCTAAACCCTAAACCCTAAAGCATGTCCTTAAGGTAAGGTGTAGGCATTCCCAGCACTAGTTATCCTAAATCCATGTTCCAGCAACTTTCTGAGTTTCGCCCTACGCCCAGAACAGTATCCCTATGCGCAAATACGCTACAAACCTGTGAAGAGCCTTTAAAACGGACCTTTAAAGGAGCCCAAGTGTAATTTTCAAGGCTCTCACCGTCCAGGAAGGTCAATTGAGCGTTGTCCTTTCCTGCGGCTGCTTGCCAGTTTGGAGGAGAATAGGCCCCCTAAACCTTAAACCCTAACCCTAAACACAGGGTTTAGAGGTCAGGGTTTTCTGGATTTCGGGTTTAGGGTTGAGGGGTTGCTTTGAGTTCAGCGGTTTGGGTCTGCCGTGTAGGGTTTAGTTTTTGTGATTTTCATGGGCTCTCTAAAGACTGAAAGTCTTAGTAGCTGCGTAGGCAACCTTCAACCTTTTGAGGCTTGTATAACCCTACTATTTTTTAAAAGGTTAACCTTGTTCGGGATAGGCTCTAAGAAGTAGAAACGCCTGAAGTCCTAGCAACCAGTCCATGGTTTCGGGTTCAGGGCTTCATAGATCTGTGGGTGTGGGGCTTGGGGTTTAGGGTTTAGGCTTAGGGCTTAGGGTTGAGGGCTTGCGGTTTAGGGTTTTAATCAAACACGTCGATTACAACGAGAAGAGCATGTTGGGCTATATTCCGTGCATGGGCTAAGGAGGACCGGTTACTCTACCGCAGTCCAACAGGTGCGTTTACTAGAATTTAGGGTTTAGGGTTTAGGGTTTAGGGGAGACTTCCCAAATTTGGTTCCAAGAGATTCGTCTGGACTGTGACGTATCGAGTTCTTATAGTTATCCCCAGTTGCAAACCTTGCCCTAAAGCTTACACCCCCGAACCCTTTCATTTTAGTCGTCCCGTCTAGTTATACATATATATATATATATATACGCACCGTAAGCCCTAAACCCTGAACCCTGAACATGTCATAGCCCCGACAGTCCCAGGGTGACGTGGAGCGAGGTCGCCTGGCAGTGTTTTCCCGATCTATCAGCGTTCCATACTTCAGGGGTTCTCTCGGAGTTTAGGGTTTTAGGGGGTTTGGGCTTTAGGGCTTTAGGGTTCCAGGGTCTAGGGCTTTAGGGTTCTAGGGTTTAGGGCTTTAGGGGTTTTTGGGGTTAGGGGTTTAGGGGTTTAGGGGTTTAAGGTTTCAGGAGTTTAGGGGTTAAGGGTTTTAGGGGTCTGCAAGGGTAGCAGGGCTTGGTGCTAGCCCAAAGGACCGAGGGTTTAGGGTTTAGGGTTTAGGGCAGTTGCTTGGGTTCAGGACAGCACCCCTTCGCAAGTGCGTATTTCCGGGAGGAAACGAGTAGTAAGTACCTGAAAACCCTCAGGCCAGTGTTAAAACTACCAAAGAGAGGGTTTAGGGATTTGGGTTTAGGGTTTAGGGTTCAGGGTGTGTTGCTGCTCCCTGGCGAGTGGCAGAACAGGAGCCAGCCCGGGTTTGGGGAAATTTCGGTTTATTATAGTGTACTATAAGCATATAACAGTACATATTATAGTTTGTTATAGTTTGTCATAGCATCAAAGTAGACTATAGAAGTATGTTTTAGTATATATTATGGTATATTATAGTACATTATAGTACCAAGGAATCCAAGACCTTAAGAAAGATGCCTTACATCACCATGTTCAAGCCCCCATGCCCGCTTAGGTGGGGTGTACCTAGAAAGAAATTCCTCAAGCCTGGAAGACGAAGTTTACCCATAGGCCCCATAGTAGTTCTTTTTGGGGGTTCAGGTTTAGATTTCTATAAGGTAACCCAAAAAGGAACTACTATGGGGCCTACGGGTAAAGCCCTAAACTTGAAAACACCGGAGTTCTAGCGCTCAAAACCTTAAACCCGCAAGCCCTAATCCGCAATGCATCAAGCCTCTGTGGCGCACATTATATTCCGCTAGTTACCTCTTTGGAATTATAATGGGATACTGACTGACATGGGCTACCATCTTAAGGACAAAAAACTCAAGTCCCATACAAATTACACAGGGTGTCCTGTGTAGAAACCTGGCCCTACACGCCAGTCCGTTAAGACGGTTGATGATACAAAACCTGCATTCTCCAGAATATGGAATCTACCATAGTTCCCATAGTCCAGGGTCCTTATAAGGTAATGCAGGATTTTTATTGTCAACAGTATTCTGAGTAGAATTCTAATTAGGTTTTAAGGGGTCTATTAGGGTTTCTATAAGGGGACTGTAATAAAGTTTCTATGGTGGTAGTCCTCTACATTAGGGTCCCTGTTAGATGAACAGCAGGAACACCTTTGAGTTCAGAGAGACGTCGGAGAGTCGGAGACTTCCAGAAAGGACAGGGTTTAGGGTTTAGGGTTTAGGGTTTAGGGTTTAGGGTTTAGGGTTTAGAGAAAAGCAGCCTTGCCCCGAAGCCCTCCGACTCTCCCACGTCGGCTACTGGGCTCTTTACCAGGACCGTGTCACATAGAGAGGCTTTGCTTAGGGTTTAGGGTTTAGCTAAGCCCTAAACTTTAAACCCTAATGGGACGTCGTGTATGTGTATATATATATATATGTGTGTGTGTGTGTGTTCACTAATATTGGGCTTTTTTTTGGGGGGCTATACATTGTTATAGTTATAGGGACTACAAAGGGAATATCGAGTTTAGTTATTGAGGCCAATGCTGCGTGCCCAGAACCGCCTCACTGATGCCCCGTCCAGCTATGCGGTTTGGGTTTAAGGTTCAGGGTGTATGAGTTTAGGGTTTAGGGTTTTGGAGGTTAGGTTTAGTGTGTATGGGTTGTGTGTCATTTTTGCTGGGGGCGTGCAATGCATTCGTGTCTGGTGTGCTACGCGCTTATCCACGAACCCAACGCTTCCAAACCCTGAAGCCATAAACCCTAAGCCCTATAATGCCTCCAAACCCCAAAGCCCTAAACCCTAAACCCTAAACCCTAAGCCTCCAAACCCCTATAAGCCCTAAACCCCCAAACCCTAAACCCTGAACCCTGAACCGTGTAAACCCCTATAAACCCTAAACCTACTTGTCCGGGCAGCTGGGGATCCAGGTGCACGGCCGCGCGCAGGAGGACGCGGAACGCC